GATATTTTGAAGAATGTTGGTAACCAAACAGTTTTGGTGTCCATTGACTTCCAAGTGCACTGAAATATGTATGAGGTGTATCACATGAGAGTGAGTGAATTCTGGCATAATTAAATTTTTTCTGTGAATTATCCCTTTAAGGTTTCGGAAACATCAGTTAAAATCATTACTGGCTGATTGTTTAATGACAATGCATAGCTAAAATATACATTTGCAATAAATATTTTAATAATAAATAAAAAAACGTAATAGAAAAGTACTCTCAGCTCCGTTTAGCACATTTCACCATGTGATATCCATTCTACAGATTTCCACACATTTTCTTCTGAAATCAGCTTAGTCATCAGGCTACAAAACCATAGAAGCATCACACAGTGTAATCCAGAACTGCATAAAAATAATTAATTATTTTTAAATAATTAAAAAAGAAAAATAGTTTAAAATTAGCACATGTCACTGCAGGTCATGTCAACTATAATAAAATAATAAATAAATAAAATAATTAAAAAAAGAAAAATGTTAAAAATTAGCATAAGGTCACACTGCAGGTTACATCAAATACTATAATAAAATAATTATAAAAAATATAAAAAACATTGTTTAAAATTAGTATAGCATGGCATGCTGCAGGTCATGTCAACAACTATAATTAAACAAGAATTTACAAATAATATTTAAAAAAATGTTTTAAAAGAAAATATCACGTCATGCTGCAGGTCGTGTCAACTACAGTACTATAAATTAAATAAATAAATAAATATGGTTACAAATGAGTATAGCATGTCAACTACCTGGATATAAAAAAGGTACCTTTATTATCTGCATGAGTTTCTCTCAAATATAGCCTACAGAAAATGATCTTCATCAGAACAAGATAACAGCTTTGATTGGTTTGAATTAAAGGCTCATGAATAACAGTGATGCAAATGATCAGCTGCTCGATAACTTCAAGAGATGCTCAAAACCTCATTCATACCAAAGTAAGCACTAATTTGACACTTAATTCACAGTCGGCTATAAAGAGAGCGTCAAAGGCGGAGAGAGTGAGAAAACGAACGTCACAACGCTTCCCACAGGAAATATTTGTCACCACTGGCCCATTGTAAACAGCAGGAATCAAAGAGACAGAAAGAGAAACACTAATTAGTTCGGGCCAGAGGGGGTATCATCAGTAACAATCGATAACACCGACTGAGAATTATGGGAAATGATTCAGCCAATCAGAACAGACGATTAAGATTTGAATAAATAATTAAGCCAGATAACCAAAGACACTTTGGTGGTTCCCATTTCATACACTCTTAAAAATAAAGGTGCTTCTCGATGCCATAGAAGAACCTTTTTGTCTAAATGGTTCCATAAAGAACCTTTAAGATCTGAAGAACCTATCTGTTTCAACAAAAGGTTCTTTGTGGCGAGGTAAGAAAAAGAAAAAGGTAAGAAAGAGATGGTTCTTTAAAGAACCTTTGACTGAATGGTTCTTTGTGAAACCAAAAATGGTTCTTCTATGGCATCGAGAAGCACCTTTATTTTTAAGAGTGTAAGTGCATATTGACCCCTCGATAATAAACGAACAACAGCTTATTCTGTTCCGCATACGGTGGCTTTGGCACTGTAAATCACCGGGTGAGTCATTGCTTTTCGGGAAGCTGATTCAATTTTGTAGGAGACATGATGGATGAGTCCTTAATACGCTCTGCCTGAACCCGTTTTCACCACACAGACAAATATTTGCATGCAACAACACATGCTTTCATACCTTTTAATGTATCTAATGAACCTGTTCTGCACAATATATGGCCCACACATAATCACATCCATTCCCCACGCACGGAAAACCCACTCCGATCTCAATATTGCAACCTCCTCCACAGAAGCTGTCACACACCCTGGGATCGTTCCACAGGAATCCCTGGTGGCTCGCAGTCGCCCTGACGTAACGTTCAACAACATGACACTTGTGACAGCACTTTAAATTATTCAGTTTTGCCATAACAGCTCGTGTTGAACCAGGTCATTCTCGCCCGCTTCGTAGCAAGCTTCCTCTAATGCAACAGGGTTAATTGGAGTGCCAATTCAGTCTGAAGAGCCACATACTTGACCTGAAGAACAGGGGAATGCAGTAAGCATGCTGCCTACATAGGAAGCTTACTACTTAGGGAGCATCCTAACTATCATGTAAGTGACAGATTTGGAAGCCTCTACATAAATGACGCACACAATTTAGACTGATTTGATGTTATCATGTTGCTAAGCTAACCGTGTGATGCTTAAATAAGCATAAAATATACATTTTACATATACTGGGAAAAAGAATACATATTGAATTTGTATAATATATAGTATCATCGATACTATGCAGTAATAAATTAAATCTGAATGTTGGATTCTTTTACTGAGCTGTAAAATTAAACGACAACAACATTAACATTACAATTAAAAATGAATAAATAAAGATACATTTTAAATCAAAGTTAAGGTAAGCATCCATCTGTTCTTGAGCACTACATTTTTACAATCAACTAGATGCCCCAAGAGAATAATCATATTAATAAAATATCAGAAAAAATACAGGATAAAATAATACTTTTTTTGCACAAATTATACATTTTGAATTACACACCTGCACCGTTTCAGCATTTCAGTATTAATGATAGTATGCAGTACTGAATGAAATTTGAATCTTGGATTTTCCACTGAGCTTTAAAATTAAAGCTCTTTTTTTTTCAATTAAAATACATTAAAAAAATTAAAGAAAAATACAAATAAAAGTTCAATTTAAAATAAACATTTTAAATAAATTCTATCCGCTCTTGTGTGCTAAAATTCTACATTGCTTCCTTTTCTCTTAGCTCCTTTGATTAACATCAGCTAGACGTCCCAAGCGGAGGGAATTATCATATTAATAAAATATCAGAAGAAATGCAGGAAGATAAGAAGGAAGGAAGGGGGCCGAAAGAGAGGGAGGGTAAGAAAATGGGTAATGGGTAAAGCGAGGAAGAAAAAAGAGAAAAAAAGAGGAGCTAAGCTGAGATAATAAAAGGATGAAAAAGATGAAGGTGAGCAATAGGAAGAAAAACGATGTAAATGTGTGCGTTTTGACGCTGGAGTGTAGGAATGCATCATGCGATTCCAAAAGGTCGGAGAAACAAGGTAGATGAAAAAAATGAGAGCTGAGAGGAACATTAAACATGAAAGTGTATTAAATACAGTGCGAGAAACTGGTTGAATTCAATACAGCAGCAGAGCCATTTTCAGTGGCTCAACCAATTAAAAGCCATTTACAATAAAACTAACACACACACACACAAATTCTACATTTCCGTAATGCATCTGCATGTTGTTTTGTGTGTGTGTGTTTCTGTAATTATCATTATTCTCAATGGCAATTCCTTATAGATTCTCATAAAGCATAATTTTGTCTTATGTTTTTTTGTACTACAGTATTTTTGGGGGAGGGTGTGCTTAATAGTCATGAAAATAGTGCAAAATATCACTACTACACTCCTGTTCAAAAGTTTTTTTTTAAAGTTTCTTTCTCTTTTCTTTTGAAAGGAATTAATACTTTTATTCATTAATAAGAAATGTTACTTGAACTGCATATTAGACTGATTTCTAAAGAATCATGTGAAACTGAAGACTGTAGTAATGGCTGCTGAAAATTCAGCTTTGCCATCATAGCAATAAACTACATTTTAAAATATATTAGAACCAAACACAGTAAATGAATGAATGAATGAATAAACAAGTAACTTGCTCAATGTACTGTAATTTCAAACCTATTATGTCCATAAAATGAAAATCAGTGGGGTCCAAAACAACTCCGAACCCCAAATACTTTCACTGTATGCCACAAAAGAAAGCAGACCACAGGGGTTTGGGACAACAGGATCATCTAGAGCAGATTTCTCACCGCAAATGTTTTAGAGCTCTTTCTATCTCTTTGCTTTCAGCAGTGTTACTCAACAGAAGCAGCACATAAAAGCATGGGCACAGTAGGAGGGGACTGAATCCATGACAGTGCACTCACACACATTCACACACACAGCAGGCACTCATGCATGAAACATACACACACTAGAAAATTCACACTCCAAGCCACTCTCAAACACAGGACTGTCATAATGCAGTACACAACTGCTGTTGTGTTAATACAAAATGTGATTTTAATTAATCACATGGCATTTACAGCATTTGACATCAATTGTTTAGAACTGAGAAAAAGAGCAAATATGGCAGATTTCAAATCACTCACTCCAACCGAGCAACTTCCATTGAGATGAATACTAACAGATAGACAGGTATCAT